CCCTACTCAGAAGATAAATAAATTATGTGGGGTCTGACACAAATGGTGTGGAATAAGGGGTGGAGATTGTATTGGGTCTGGCTGAGCTGGAATTCATTTCCCCAGAGCAGCCCTCCCAGTGCTGTGCTCTGCACAGCTGGAAAGGTGTTGATAACACACCAGTGTTTGGGCCACTGCTGAGCGGGGCTGACACATCAGCACTGTCATATTCCTCTCCAGTCAAGGGCAAGACCCTGGGAGGGGACCCAAGCAGGCCAGCTGAGCCCAACTGACCCAAGGGACATTGCAGACCATGGGAGGTCAGCTCAGCTCTAAAAGCTGAGGCAGGGAGCAGGAGGGAGGCATTCATTGTCTAATGGCTGCCTGCTGAGGAACCGTCACAGGTACCCAAGCCGTGCTCCTTGGGAGTGGCTGACCATGGCTGCTCATGGGGAGTAGAGAACAAACCCTGCTGTCTTTTGCTTCTGCGCGCTCAAGCTTCGCTTTAATTTTTCCTTATCCCCACCCACAAGTTGTTGGGTTTTTTTCCACCTTACTCTCTCCCCCGTCCCACTGGGAAGGGGAGTGATAGAGCAGCTGGGTGGGCACCTGGTGTCCAGCCAAAGTCAACCCACAACACACCTGAACACTTCCAGAGACTCCACCCCCTCCCTGGGCCACTTGTTCCAATGCCTGAACACTCCCACAGAGGGAAAAAGGTTTCTTTAATATCGAATATGAACCTTGCCCAATGCAATTTAAGGCTATTCCCTCACAACCTTTCACTACAGCCTTGGCAGAAGAGACCAACCCCCACCCCACTAAAACATCCTTTCAGGTCATTGCAGAGAGCAATGAGGTCCCCCCTGAGCCTCCCCTTCTCCAGACTCAACAAGCCCAGTTCCCTCAGCCGTCCCTCAGCAGACATGTTTTCCAGAGCCTTCCCCAGCTCCGTTCCCTTCTCTGGACACGCTCCAGCCCCTCAAGGGCCTTTTGGCACTGAGGGGCCAGAACTGGACACGCTCCAGCCCCTCCAGGGCCTTTTGGCACTGAGGGGCCAGAACTGGACACGCTCCAGCCCCTCCAGGGCC